ATGCCCACATTAAGTTCTTTCAGTTAATTGGAACTACATTAATGTCTTGGTTTATAGACAATGTGTCCCAGGAGGCGGGACCTCTGATGGAATAAAAACTCCTCCCCTATATTACAAAATTTTTTGAAATTATAAGGCGTTTGAGTGGAGTATGAAAATGAATAACAATTTTACTAAAAACAGAGAACAAAACAGAACAAAACAACAACCAAACAATAACAGAAAAAATGTCACCCAAAACCAATCTTTCAACTCCGTGCTGCGAGACAACAACACAGTCCTGACGCTGTCAGGTGATCACAATGTAGCAGTCACGGCTGCACTGGCAAGCACGTGGGAGCATCGACTCTGGGCAGAGACTGAGGTGATGCAAGAGTGGTGACAGGAAAGCACAGGGTGACAGGGCTCCAGGCGCCAGGAAATGGCAGGGGCAGCAAGGGGGAGGATGAGCTGTAGCAGTAGACCGTGGCGGCTGTCAGCGATGGCAGCTGCAAGTAGAGGGAAGTGTCAGGGCTCACTACCCACAGAGGGGACTCCCCTGGCCAACAGCCACAACAAACAGGAGTCTCCTTCCTGGTACGGGAACTGCAAAAGCTGGGTAGCGGGGCAGCTCCAGGGGGTGCAGTGGCCGGTGACTCCCTCTCAGCTGCAGTCCCAGGAACAAAGAAGAGCAAGCTGCTGTCGTGTTAGCAGCTTGATTCTCTTAAGTTCTCATGGCATTTTTCCCTGCAGGAGCCCTCCTCCCTCCCCGCCCTCAAGAAGGAGGGGTCCCCCATGCTTCTTTAAAACCACATGATGATATGAAGAAATTTAGCTAAACCATAACATTATCCACTCCAAATTTTTTCATACCATTGTGCTACATTGGATTTGAACTTTCAAACTCTACACATACATGCATTGCTCCAATTATATACACATTTACAAATATATACGTAGAGGCACAGTGTTATGGACAGTTTACCCATGATGGTATGAAGAAATTTAGCTAAACCATAACAATTTGTTGCGTTAGGAAGTTGCAAATGGCTGGATGAGGGGGTTCAAGTTGAGATAAAATGGTCACATTTATCTTTGGGTGCGTGGCTTTACAGGACTGGTGGTCTAACGTCCAATCATAAGGTGCGTCAGGAGGAGCATTGTAAGTTTGGTAAGCTACATGCACACCATAGGAATACCTTCCCAGTCTATCCAGACTCCCTTCTTTTTACTTGCCCAATATGTGGGTAGGTACATTGGAGAGGTTGCATTGGTCATATTGAAGATAAAGAATAGATTCCAGTAAAGCAACACATATAACTTGATTGGTATGGTTCCATATTTTGACAAACCCTTTGATTAGTTCCCAGGAGAGCTTCCGATATATCTCAGCTCCAGCGGTCTGCTCTGCTGAGCACATGCACAATGCAAATAACCATATAAGCATAACCAACATATTATAACTACAGTTACCAACAGACTTAATATTAGATTAATAATAGAACAGTGAGCCATAGTCCAAAACAGAGGTCTTCCATTCACAGCTCCAGGTATTTTCCATGTTAAACAGTTACCTGTAAAAGAAAAGATCTGCTCAGCCCCTTCTAGGACTGACATGAAAATGAAGGGGTAATTCACCAAGCACTTATTTTATGTTCTTTGTCATAAGTGTCTTTTGCTCTCCAAGTGTACATATTTAAGGGAGCAGTGAGTACCATGGGTACAGCTCCTACAGTAGGCAGTTCCACTAATATGGGCTGTCCCAGGAAATGGGAAGGGTCTTGATTATTTTCAGGTTTTGATATTGCTGATGTTAAAGAGGGAGGCTGTGCATAAAAGGTCGTGAGTCTAGGACATCTATTTACTCCTCATCGGTCATTTACCATTTTTACACCCCATAATTCTCCAATCCAATTTTAATTTTGGGGCTTTAAAAATCGCTTAAGTAGCCCATTTGTTCTCTCAACTATGCCATTAGCTTGCAGATAATAGGGTGTGTGGAATACCCACTGAACTCCTTCTTTGGCCCAGTCTTGGACTATAGTAGCTGGGGAATGTGACCCATTGTCTGATTGAATTGACACAGATTTTGGGAAGAAACTGAACCATATTTTAAGAGCTTCCACTGTGTTCATCCCAGTTGCTCGAGGGAAAGCCTCTGCTTGTACCAGTCCTGATCTAACCTTCCCTCCTACCAACGTATATTGCTTTCCCTTGGATTTCCAAAAAGGTCCAATATAGTCCACCTGCCTTGTGTCCCATAGTTCCTTCCTGTGCAAGGGAGGTTATTCTAGGGAAAGACGCTCTAGTCGGACTCGACACTGTTCACATGCAGATATACAGGTATGACACATCTCACAAGTTGGTGGCCATCCTCTACTTTCTACTTCTTTCTATAGATCTTGTGCCCCTGTATGCTGTCGTTTTGAGTGCAACCACTTTAATAATCGGTCCCAGTTTTCTGCTGGAGTTTTTACATCTAGTGGGGCTAGTCTGACCAGTTCATCTGCTTTGTTATTCCAATGGCTAGTTGGGGTTCCATCTTCCTGGTGGTAGCCTACCCATCCAACTAGAAAATTCCCTTTTCTTTCTATAGTAAGAATTTCCTGCCCTTTTTCTTTTTGCCAAACAGGGACTCTATTTACTTCCCAGTCATTTTTATCCCAGAAGGGGAGCCACTCGGTGCACCTCTTGAACACGGCAAAAGAATCAGTATAAATATATATGGGGTCAGAAGTTTCAGATTCATGGTTAAATGCACTCCAAACTGCTACCAATTCTCCTACTTGTGCACTACCTTCTCCTTCCGTTATTATCCTGTATCCTGTATTTACTTGCAAAGCTACATCATGTTATTTCCAAACTTTATCCTCCCACTTTGCTGATGCATCAGTAAACCACGCATTCTGCAATTGTTCTGAATATGGGGGAGCAACTTGAATCACAGAAGGTGGAGAGTCAGTTGTGTTGTTCAGGGTTACCTCTTCTTGTAAGGGAAGGTTTTTGGGAGCTCCTTGGGTTACTTGAAAGATGGTACAATAATGTCCAATTTGGGTGCACCATTTTCAAACAGAAGCTCATTGGGCCACCCCGTCAGGGGGTGGAGTTCCCAACAAAATTGGTTTGATGACTTTAAAAGGTCCTCTTAAAATTAGGGATTGTTGGCAGACAGTTCTTTCTGCTTCCTGAAGGGCAAGGCTGACCATGAACAAACCCTTTTTCCCAAGTGGAGTACTGTTTTTCTGCATCTTTAAAACTTTGAGAATAAAATCCAATGGGTCGAATAGGACCATCGGGTCCTCGCTACCATAAATGTATGGACAGTCCCGAACTGGCAAATCCCCACTCAATTTGTACGGGATCAGTAGTATTGATGGAGGGGCATAAACATAAGGCATACAGGCCAATGTGGTCAGCCATATGTTTAATTTATTATTTAATTAAGTCAACTTTTATACAGTTTAGTTTGTTTTGGGCACATGCTTACAACAAGGTGATTGGATAGCTCAGTCTGTACACGCGCCTCATGTCTCCAGTTCATTGGACCTGATGTTCTGTCCATGCGATCTGAAGTCATACTTGGCATGTAGAGGCCTTCATAATTAGGAACTTTCTGAAATTTGCAGGTGCACCCTTATCTCTAGTTTCTCAAGGCTTTCTTGCTCTAAACATACTATGTTCTCAAACCTTATAATTAGACACACAGCTGACAAGTATAAACATTGCATATTTTCACACAGTCTATAAGCATAAACATTACAGCTTACAGCTTCTAGTCATGTCAAGCAAGGCCTACAGAAATGCAATGGAAATTGTTCACAATTTGAATCCTGCAACACAGTAGGGTGTATAGGGCCTAGTAATCAGTGTGTGTTGGTCTCAAAAATTAGGAGTTGTAGGGCCGCATCATGGAGAGGGGTCCAATCCCACCTTGCCCTTTTTTTGCAAAAAATCATATAAGGGTCTTGCAATTATTGAAGTTGGGGATGTGTTTCCTCCAAAAAAACAGCAAGCCTAAAGTATGCTGCAGATCTTTCTTATTCTCAGGCATTTTAATTTGGTCTAGGGAAGTGAGGGTGTCCAGGGGAATACAGACCATTCCTCCCCTCCACCATATTCCCAGGAATTTTACTTCTTGTGAAGGGGCTTGTACTTTTTCAGGAGGGATTTTAAGTCCAGGGACTCTAGATGTTTAATAAGGTCTGTTTGGGTTGACTGTACAGGTGCAATTTCATCTCCTGCTACCAAAATGTCATCACTGTATTGGTATACTTTTACTCTTGGTGCAGGAGGAATGAGTGACAATTCTTGTGCCAGTGCGTGATGTGCTAGAGTGGGTGAATGTTTAAATCCTTGTGGGAGGCGAGTAAAAGTGTACTGCTGGCCTTCCCACATAAAAGCAAAACACTTCTGATCTTGGTCTTGCATCATGGCTAGGCTTCGCGAACGAAGATTTGGGAGTGGAACCATAAAAAACATGTCTTTGACATCAATAGTGGCCATGATTTGGTGGACTTGTATGGTAGCTATTAGTTCAGCAGTATTTGGGACTGCCGCAGTAAGAGGCCCTGTGTTTGCATTAAGGCGTTGGTAGTCCACAGTTAATCTCCAGTTGCCATTTGGCTTGTGAACTGACCACACGGGAGCACTGTAAAGGGAATGTGTCATTGTCTCAGTTTAATGAGACCGAAGTGTTTTGCTAAGGAGGGTGAGTTATGAGGAAGCAATTGTAAATCCGAAATTAAGAGGTTCCAATTGAGGAAGTATGGAGAAAGAAAAAATAACAGCCCTTTATTAAAGGATATATGTGTATTGGCAGAACAACAAAAGAACACAAAAACAACTAAACAATAATTCTGTACCCAAAGTTCCCTCCAAAAAAACAGTTCAGTACTTTCCACCTTTTGGCACTCTTGTGAAAGTGTATTGTAAGAATTTAAGGGCTTGTTAGTCAACACCTTTGGGGGCTAAATAGTGGGCTGGTTGCCGGAGTTATGGCAACTGTACAATAAAAGCATAAGAGTTCCCTGACACATGGTTGCCCTAGTTAGAACAGCTCAGACCAGCCATCACTGTGTGGGTGTAACCCAAAACTGTGTATTCTACACCCTCCATGCCATTTCCCAGAAACTGTTGACAATAGACCACTTGCAGCAGCTGCCCAGAGCACGCCTGACCCCTCAGGCTATAAGCTGGGTGTTAAGAGGCCTGTGAGATAGGAGGATGCTCCTGTCCTCACACCCATTGTGGAACTCCCCACCCTGAGGGGGGTACTGGGCATTCCTGTCTGAACCTGAGGATATATAATATTGGGGTCTTGGGACTTCTGATACCACTTGTGACATCCAGAGAAGGACTGGAACCTCGACTGGACTGCAATCACCACTCTCAACCAGACTGCAACCACCACTCTCGACCGGGCTGCGACTACCACTTTCAACCAGACAGCGATCACCACTCTTGACCAGACTGCAACAGCACTCTCGACCGGACTGCGATCACCACCCTCGACCGGACTGCAACCAACACTCTCACCAACAGGTTTTTCCCTCTCCTTTTACTTTGGACTCAGGGGGACCACGTGGGGCTCAGCACAGGGAGGGAGGCCCGATGAACACCACTCCGTTCATGCCCCAGGGTGCTGGGTTATACATCTGGGTTTTCTAGGTTAAAACCAATTGTTTGTCTGTGTAATTGTATTTATTGTATTAATTTTATTAAATTGTTATTCTGACTTATAATCTCTTTTGAGTTGGGTTCATTTCCCCTGTCGGTTTACCTTTAAACCAGCACAATGGTCCAGTGTCTTTGTTCAGCCTGATGAGAATTTATAACAAATATCACGCCCCCTATTGCTGGGTCATGACAGACACCAAACTTGCTGATGACACATGGGGTACACTTGTTTCAAAGCAGGAAAAGGATTTTTGCTCAGGAGTTAGCAGGTCTCATTGAGAAAACTTTAAACTAGATTTGAAGGGGAGAAGGGAATAAAACCAGGCTCCCTAGAGATAAGATTGGGGGTGGCATGACACTGTTTGAGGAACTGTGTGCTAGCAAGATCTTTCAGTATACTGTCTCAGTAGAGGTAGTGCATATAGATCCATGTGGCAGCAAGGATGGAAGAGTTATGAGGTATTACAAACCATAGAAGTGCCTGAGAATGGTCACACAGGACTTAAGAGTTTCTCCCTCAAAAAAGGCAGCGGGATCAATAGTCCAACTGAAGTGAATCTACACCAATGCACACAGAATATACAGGAATACACCGATGCTACACAGGAACAAACCATACCAGCAGCACACATTAGAAACCACAAAAAGAACCGACAAGTGGTCATAGTGAGTGACTGTCAGGGGTTGACAGAGAACCTGTCAGCAGCCTGGCACTTATCGACGAAGCAGTCGAGGTTGACCAGATCAAAGTATACCCCTGAGATGGACTGAAAGAGAGGACTGAGGCCCTGATCCTGACAATATACTGATGCATCCTGAAGAAGCTGTCCCGTGGGAACAGAGAACACTGTCTCATGAGAACAGGAACATTGTCTCATGAGAACAGAGACCTGTTTTGAACGAGAGTGGTCGGGAAAAACATCAACATGAGAGAAAAATAAGAGCAGGTGCTTGGGACTGTTGTGGGAACCTCACAGGGCTGTTTTGAGAAAGAGCAAAGTTGTTGTGAGAAAGTAGAGTTTAGAAAATGCACCTATTAGCTGCAAGAATTCTGGTGTGAGAGTTTGAACTGTCCTATCCGTGTGGATTACGTGTGTTCAAAAACTGTACTTATAGGGGACTGCGAAGCAGCCCCGGTGTGCTGTCTTTTCCTGGAAATAAACTTTTCTGGAACCTTTTTTATGTCGCACGTCCGTTCCAACAGCGACAAGTGACTCTCTGCTAAGGGGCACCAAGGAACACATTTGTTGACCCGACAGGGAATCATGTGAAGGTTGCTGCCTTCCAAGTGCTAATGTCCAGGATATCACTGAGAGAGTTCCACAACTTCATAGAAACACCGTTATCCACTATTACTCTTTCATATGGGCATGAATAACATGGCAAGTTCTATTTTACCAGTTAGAGGAAAGGGTGAAGGCAGGAGCAGTCACATCATGCAAATAAACACTAGGCTACATGGCTGGTGCTTTTGCCAGAGTTTTGACTTTCATAACCATGGGACATTCTTTTGATGCCTGCTCAGCTGGTGCTACGAAAAAAATTCAGGAGCCGTAAGCTGGGGTGAGATAAGAA